GAGGTGGGCAAAGAGATACACTAGAGAGAAGTATTTAACACAACTGAAAACGGTGCAAGAGCTTTGAAAGCTCAGTCTAAAATTTTGCAGCACCCGTCAAAATTGTTACTAACTGTATAAGCCACTGAGTCAAAGTCCACTCATGTAACTTTTCCCCAAAGGCAGAAAATTGATCACAATGATTGACCTTGATGATGTCATAATAACTCAAATCTAACCTCCAGGTCAAATCAAACAAATCAAGCTCTCAGACAACACACACAAGCAGTCAAAAACACACTTCATGTCTGTCTCTCACACACTAGAGGGATACGGTCTACAAAACTCTGGGTTAGATAGATGCCTCAGTTTTAAAGTCATGGGTCATTTTTGTTACAGTAAGGGAAAAAAATTATCAACTTTTCTAAGTATCATCAGTTTATGCTTTTTTAAAATAATATTTTAAATGAAACATAACAAATATACAAATAAAATGGAATACTGAAAACTGCTACTAATAAATGCTCCGATAACCAGGGAAAGGCTGTTTAAATGATGAAGGAAACCGCATTTTTGTACTGTACTCGTTTGTTCCTTGCAACATTGATGTTCACTTTCGCATGGTGCCATTTCAAATAAGTTAGTAAGTTTGACGTGTTGCCAAAAATATATCCAGTTACCACTGACCATATATTTTAAGTGGTGGACCAGAGTGCAATAAACAAATTAGACATCTTATTCGCTTGTCTTTGTTCATTGTTGTATTTCAACATGAAGCCAACGTGGTCCCAAACAGGAAACCTTAATGATAAGGGAGGGCCTTCTAGCTCTGGTTTCTTGTTTGCACTGGTCATGACTTTTGCTGGCCAGAGGCTTGGCTAAGCTAAACATGCTATTCTCCGGTCTGCAACTTAATATGTTCATGTGTGAACACAGATTTGAAAAAAATGTTTCACACATGAAACAGGCCTACTATTAAAGATTGCATTCATATGTGTATATATCTTCATAAAAGATAATACTACAGTAGCCGTTTGCCAAAAACCAAAACATTTTCAGTTGGTAATATTGGCCAACTATAAAAAGGCCCATATGTGACAGAAGGATACCTGTTGACATAAAATCATTTTAGTGAGTGAAGTCTGTATCCCTCCTCTACCTCTCAGTTTCTTTTGCAGCCCCACACACAAACAGAAAGCATGTATCTGCTTCAGCACTGTAGAGAAGACAGATTGGAACCTTCTCCAGACCTCACAGTGCTCCTCATCTGCAGCAGCCTGATAAGCCCCGGAGAAAGTGACTGTTGCAGCACAAGAGAGTATAGAGAATTCTGCCTTAAGCTGCCACAAGTGGAACAAAATACTGTGAAATCTACCTTACAATTAGTTTAGCCAGGGGACTTCCTTAAGGGGTGCACATATAATGTCTCTCACTCATTAAAAGCTCTTACTTTTGCCACACTAACATCCAACTTTATCAGCCTTGCTTTTAGCTTTGAGGTGAGAGGGAATCTGCTTATTCTTAAAGGTCAGTGGCCTGGAACAGGGAGGCAGAAGAAATCAAATATTGCAGACTACTTTAAAACCCCTTAGCGCTTACTCCCATTTGTTCTGGGGGCAAGTAAATCAGTGGGTTGTTGTGGCCTTAACCTCAACAACTGCCAGCAGAGCGTAGAGGGCGGGCAGGTGGGGTAGTGCCGAGTAGGGTTATTGTCATGCAACAGTGAGAGGCAGTCAATAAATTTGACAGAGTTCAGTCCTCTGGTACTTTGTTCACGATTACTCTCCTCCACACAGACAATGCAGAGCAAATGCTGTGCTGGGCGTTCTCTCTGCAACAAGAAGCTGACGTATTAGCTTTCATTTCATGATGATGATCATGAAATAATGTGACTGAGAGCATGACATCCACATCAACCTGGATTAACACTAAAGTAGGTATTATCTGATGGGCCTGATGATGGTTCTAGTGATAGGTGATTGTTTAAAACGATTCAGAGATTAAATCAGAGGGTGATAATTCGGTTCAG